AAATACAGGTATATTCATACATCATTATACATAGATATGGTCACACATGAGCATGTACACTCAGATTTTACAGATATACAAATGCTCACAAATACAAACAGAAACACACATATAGATATGAAAATACACAGAGATGCAGATATATGAATTCCCCTATTTCCCCACCTGTCTCTCTCCTAGACCAGACAAGGGAATTTAAGAACAATGAATATGTCAATCAAAAACATGAGTCATGGTAAGGTCAAGGAGAGAGAGCATGTTTTGGGGCAGCAAATACACATAGGTTCAACTCTTAACTTAGCTATTCTGTAGCTATGAAATTTTGAAGATCAATCCCAGGCTACCCATGTGCCTTCAAAAGTTTTAGAGTGGTGTTTGAGTTACCTCGTGTTCTCATGGAAGTGGGCTTGCATACACGTCAGACTTTGTGCACTGAACTGAGCTCATCGCTGTTTTTGCCCTTTGTTTCTCAGGCCTTCATTGTTGCCTTCACATCTGACATCATCCCACGCTTAGTTTACTTCTATGCCTACTCCAGTAATTCCTCAGAGCCCTTGAGTGGATATGTCAACAACAGCCTGTCAGTGTTCCTGATAGCTGACTTCCCCAACAACACAGCACCCATGGAGAAAAAAGGCTTCACCACTTGCAGGTCTTCTTCTGTCTAGGTTTTAGTACTAAACTTTTAATGTCTCTCTTAAATTATCTTTTTTCTAATGTTTGTCTTGTAGTATAAGAGGTTAACTTGATACAAGGCATTTCCTAGGTTAATATCATACATCATTTCTGGAATTCATACATTGTATGACCTGACAGACTATACAAAAGGAAGTAATATTATGGGCCGAGGTCATGCTGTTCTTAAGTAGTTTCTTAGTTTTGAATTATTTTTGAAAATGATGCTCACCAACTAGGACAGGCTCCCTGGACTTGAGCTATAACATCTATCACTCAGTATGGTAATTAAGTGAATTTTACCATTTATCCCCAGAAAAAGAACTAGAGAAATAACAATGTAATAATGGGACCATTATTACCAGCCATCATTCCACTTAAAGATTTTCTTTAGCGTAGAATGTGTGAGTGGAATTTGTGAATTGTTATTACCACACCCAGTTTATCATGTTCTGTGTGGATCTTTATACCATAGAATATTAAAACAATAGTCAGCAAATTGGTGGTTAGATAACAAAGATATTATAGATTATAGATCATTGATGGAGATATGCAGGTAGTTGGATGGATAGATAGGTAGGTAGGTAGGTAGGTAGGTAGGTAGGTAGGTAGATAGATAGATACATACATACATACATAGATAGATAGGTAGATAGATAGATAGATAGATAGATAGATAGATAGATAGATAGATAG